CCACCTCACCCTTTAAAAAAAACACGAACAGGTCAGACCCAACAGGTCAACCCGCGCTTCGAGTTCCCTCCCTTGCCCGGAGAGAACACGTCACGACGTCGCACCACGGTGTTTAACCAACAGCTGAACTATATCACGTCCCACCTGCCCCCCTCCCCGCCTCTCTCACAGCTACAGGATATCCCAGAGGTCTGTCTGTTTGTCTTCCAGTCTGATTCTGTGTCTGTTTAATTTTGTTTGTCTGTTTTTTTGTTTGTCATTTTGTCTGTCAGTTTTTGTTTTTCTGTTTTTGTCTGTCTGTTTTTGTTTGTCTGTTTGTCTGTCTGTTTTTCTTCCGGTCTGTCTATCTGTTTGTTTGTTTGTCTGCCCATTTGTCTGTCTGTCTGTCTGTCTGTCTGTCTGTCTGTCTGTCTGTCTGTCTGTCTGTCTCACACGAAAATCTTCAACCAGCAGCACAACTGTATCACATCCTATCTCGCTGAGATTTTTCTGTATGCGTGCCTATTTGTTTTTCTGTCTGCCTGTATGTGTGTTTATTTATCTGTCTGTTTATTTGTGGGCCTTTCCGTTTGTACGTCTGTCTGCTTGTCTGATCATCTTTCTGTCTTTCTGTATTTCTATCTGTTTGTCTGTTTTTCTGTCTTAGCCTAGTTTAACCCTGACATGCTTTAAAAAGCAGATGCATTAACAAACAATGTCAGAATATTCTCTACCCACAAAAATAAAATTAAAAAATACATACATACTATATCATATAGATACTGTAATGTCAGCTTAAACCAAATTCAGTAATCTGAAACCATCATTAAACTAAAAGAAAATAATTATGCGCGTGCTAAGAGGTTACTACAATAGTACTAGAGGTCGCAGCTGTGACGTCACATCTAATACCTCTAGTTTTATTTATAACCTCTTTGTTCACGTGTTTGTTTTCTTCTGTTTGAGCAACCTCTCTCTAAAAACAAAATTAAATTATTACATTTTAAAAACCCGGCTGTACCGAACAAAACCCGGCTGTACCGAACAAAACCCAGCAGCCCCAGATTTTGGCTTTAGCGGACTCACACCTTCACCTATCCCGTAGACTGAATGTCTGTCGGGGCGCTTTTGAAGATTTGGCCAAGTCTTCAGCTTTCCTGACCCCGAGCGTGTCTTTGAGTGCCAGGCCTGTTCATTGCTCGATGCTGTCCTCCCAACTTGGCTGACTCCACTGTAGATAAATAAATAATAATCTATTTAAAGATCTAAACAAAAAGAAAAACAACCCCAAAAAATAAATAAATTAAAAACAAAAAGATTACGTACAAAATCAAATTGATTCTACTTTAACCTTTCCCTGATCCAACACACTATGTCCCCTCAGAGTGAGTTCTGTAACAACGAAACCCTGAGGGCAGTAGACTGTTCTGTCGACTTCTGCACGTGCATACATCGCCTGCAGGTGGCCCTAGGGGACCTTGTTGAGATGGTGCTCATCAACTACAGGTAAAGTGTAATAATAATAGTAGTAATAATAATGATGATAATAATAATAATAATAATA